AACTCACGCTGACATCAGGATTTGTATTTCATCACATAACTGCATGTTTATGACTAACATTTGTGCTCTGGTACAATACCACATGTGATATTTATGTGGTAAAATATTTTGGAACTTGACCAGAGAAACGAGAAAATGATAAACTGTGTATGCAGTGAGACAGAAAAAAAAATGTCTACTTGGACAGTGGCTTTGTTTATATAAGGAACAAAGCCAGCTGGCGCTGTGATTTTAAAATATTGTTTTCCCAGTTAAATCCTAATTATGAGGCACTGGGTATGAGTGGTGATTATTTTACCTGTGTTAAGCTGCCCATACACCTTACAACCATCGCACGACTTTCGTTGTGCGATGGTTGTAAGGTGATTAAAATTTAGTACGACCTGCCCATCTTGGACAGGCAGATCGTACTTTCGATCATCGCAAGCCCTCCCCGCTGAGGGGAAGGCTTGCCGATGATTGCAATGCTGAGCGGGTAGAGTGCGCTTGCGCACACTGACCCGTGCACCTTTCGTCTTGCAATCGCGCTACCAACCAGCCGTAAATCGTACGCTTTTTCTAGCGTGCTCGTAAGACGAAAGTCGTACGACTTTACCGTAAATGCGGTCGCAGGCTGCCCATACACCTGCCGATTATCGTACGATTGCGGGATCACCCCTGAAGAACTTGCCCCTGAAGAACCTGCAGTGTATCCCTGCCCCCCACCCCCCTCCCAACCATAATAATACTGGGCTAGCACTATGGGTAACCAGACATACATGGTGTGAAAGAATTTTGACTCTTCAGCTACCCAATAGCTGCAACACGAATGTACTAAACCCATTTACTTGGCAATAAATATCCCAGGCCATTCCTTTCTCTGGGTGCTGTTCTTGTCCTCTGGATGGTGAGAATGATGAGTGCCAGCCACTTTGCTTTAGATTTTATTATATTTTATTGCACTAGTGCAGTAGAGGAATAGGAGGGAGGGTGGGGGAGTACACTTTACCTGTAGGTTCTACTTTAAAAACAGTTCTTGGTCTTAGGCATGTCTTCCAAACCTTCTGGGAACTTTTCTCACAGGGCCATACTGACTGTACTCTTATATTTTAAAAGTGGCTACTTGGCAACTGAGGTTCAAGTGGTATCTCTGTCTTAGTATTCAAGGCAGGGCAGCAATGGAAAGGTTCCCTTGTTGCTTTCCAACTTAATCAGTCACCCACCACCTCCAAATGGAGGGCGACTGCAGTTTGCTTCTTCTAGGTCCAAATTGCAGCCAATAACTTTCCATTTTCCCTCCCAAGAGGAAAGATCTTTGCAGCTTCCCAGGTTCCTATGCCCTATGGCCTGGGATAAGAGAAGAGGTTTATTCTGCATCCTCAGAGTAAAACCTTGGAGGGAAGACCATGTGCCAGAAAGTGCCTTGGATGTTTAATAACGCTCCCAGCATGCACCAGCAGGCCTCTGAAGCCTACTGATTGGCCAGGTATTAGATATCCTTAACACAGAATGTTCTCTCTATATGTACATTTATAACCTTCTACCTTCTACATCCAAGTGCCTTTTTCTTCCTATGCCCTATCTTTTAAGTCAATTTGTTTTTAATTTTGTATTATTTTGGAGATATCTCGGTTCTGTAACTTGTAGTGTACCCTATTATATTTTACATCAAAGAGAAAAATGGAAGGGGGATATGAAACGGAAAGGATATACACTATGGTGTAGTAGTTTAAAAGTGTCCCTGTGGATTGTGAGCAAAAATGTTCTATACTTACATTATTTTGTGGTTACAAGAGGCCAAACTGGTCTAGCTACTGCCAGAATCTTGGCACACCTTGTATCACGTACCTGGTGGGGAGGCCGAAGTGAGAGGAGGCTTCTCTTGCACCTCGTGTCTTGTGACCTTTGAGGTTGAGGACAAAGGCCAGGCAGACAGGGAGAGGCACGAGTCCTTTAGGAAAGTCCAGTAATCGAGGTCACAACAAGCCGGGGTCAAAAGCCATGAAATCCAATTCAGTACAAGTAGGGAGCAGGCCGAAGAATATCCAAAACAGTCCGAGGTCAAAAGGCAGGCAGCAAGCAAGGATGGTCGTTTACACAGGAACAGGTCAAATCCAGGGGAATCAGGTATATACAGGAGAAGGCTAAACGGGAGACAAGGAACACGATCAAGCTGACAAGACAAACCAGCAACTAGTGGGCGTTTGAGCTGGGCTTAAATAGGGCAGTGAATCCATCTATGATGTAACTTCCTGTGCGCCTCTTTGCGCATATGTTCTCAGCTGCGCGTGTTTGTTCTCAGCTGCGCCTGCGCGTGTTTGTTCTCAGCTGCGCCTGCGCGTGTTTGGTCTTAGCTGCACCTGCGCGTATTTGTTCCCGGCTGCGCCTGCGCGTGTTTGTTCTCCGCTGCGCATGCGCAGAGCGGGAGTTTCGCTGACACCTTGCCTGTGTGTTATTCCTCAGGAAACACATGTTCGGTGTAAAAAAACCATTGTGTCTCATGAATAATGTATGCCAGGGGTAGGCAACCATTAGCTGTGGTGAAACTACAAACCCTGTCATGCCTCCAGTGGTCATGCATGTGACTCTCAAAATCTTGCAATGTCTTACTGGATTTGTAGTTTCTAAACAGCTTGTGTATTGTGGTTGCCTACCCCTGATGTATGTTTTAAAGTGACACATCTGAGATACATTACAAAGCCATAGGCATTGATATAGAGTCCTCCTACTCCCTCCTTTTGCAGATACACCAGTTTCCACTATTCTGAGAGGGCTTTTCACAACAATTTTGGAGTGTTTCTGTGGATATTTGTGTCCATTCAGCAAAAAGAGTATGATTTAGGTACCCAAAGTACCAATGTAAATGGAGGAACCCAAAACTCCCAGTTGGAAGTCACCAACCATGGTGGGAAGATTTATTTACAGGACTCCATAAGATATACAAAATTACTATATAGCAGGAGATCCACCCCACCTTACTCCTCTTACTGAAATATTACATGTGGCTGAACTGCCCTTTTAATCTTCCAGACAAGAAGTAAGAGAGTCACTTAACAAAATAATTGGTTTAATATATTTTATTACAAAATCAAAACAATAAACGCAAGCTATATTTTATTTAATTAAATACTATCCATTCCTTTTATGTACATATCATCATTAAAATATCTGCCATAGATAGATTGGAATGTAAGTGCATTTTACATACATCAAGTGTCAGGTGATATTAGTTCCTCCATAAACAGCAGTTGTAAACACATTTTTTTGAATAAAATTAAAATGCAAAATAGAGCATTCCTGTACCATGGAATTTTTAAGGCGTCTTTTCTTTTTGCATCATCACAGAAAGTGATTACATCCATTGCTGACATCTAGGGATAAGGGGATGATTTTGCGGAACCCAACTTAGCTGTGAAATTACTGATTTTTGCATTCAACAAAATTTGGCTGCAACTGGCTTAAATTTGACATGTGGACTACTTGGGTAAACGATGAATTTTTTGATAAAACCAAACTCATACATTAAACAAACCTAAGGCTATTTAAGGCCAAAGTTCTTTTTTTTTTATTTTAGAGTAGAGAAGGGTGAAAACTCACTTCACTACACTTTGAAGCTACATTTTAACACCAGAGGCCATTAGGGCCAACTCTTGATTTATGTAATCGCTGTGATTGGCTGTCACAGTAATCTCATGATTAGGAGCCCGTCCTTCCAGCTCCCGATTGTAAACAGTGACTGGGAGGTGTTAGTGACAGCACGGTCACAGTACTGGAGGTAGCGGGTGAACGCACTCCCAGCACAAAACAACAACTCTTAATTCGTTCCACGATTCTGGTCACAAACCAAATCAAACTGTGATCAGACCGCGATCTCGACTAGAGGAAATGTCACCAGCACACCTATGTCTTGTGTCAATAATCCATCTTCTTTCTTGATGCAGACTGTCAAAAAACAAAGTTTCGGGGCCACGCAGGGTCCCCTTCATCGGGTTTTAGTATGGGTCTGCTTCATTAGGTTTTAGTTGTAGGTCTTACTAAAACCGTATAGAGGGGACACTGCGTGGCCCTGAAGTGTTGTTTTTTGACAGTCTGCATCAATAAAGAAGATGGATTATTGACACAAGACATAGGTGTGCTGGTAACATTTACTATATGTTTGAAGATGCACGGCACCATCCGTGGTTACTACAGCACCCTCCTTTATACATAGGGGTTCCGGAGGGAGTGCAGCAGTTCCTCTTCAAAGTTTGACTAGAGGAAGCCACGACCATGTGTCAGAGCAAGGAAGAGGGCTGCGGTTGTGTTCATCACCCAATGTGCAGTTCGCAAATGGAGGCAACATTTTCACGTTCGTGAACCGAGGTACCACTGTGTGTGGCAACACTGTGGTGGGGTTTAATGCCATGTTGCCACATATATGCATATGGCCGATGGGAAGGGGTTAAAGTCTAATTCAGCCTAGTGATAGAATACTGTAATGCAGTCAGGCATAATAAATATACAGTTCTTTTACTTTTCTTTACGCTGCTAAGTGCTGAAGTAAGGGTTCAAAGATGGGACCGTTTTTGCCACACACAAACAGCAAGCCAAGCTCTCCAAAAGTCCAGCAAACCCCCCCAAATGCTCTAATTAACAGTGCGGCTCACAGTGTAATTTGATTTTAACAGCATTTTGAGGGAACTGTTGGACTACTGGACAGCTGGGCCACTGCTTTGTTTGGGAGAGCAGTCGTCCGACTCTCCTACATGCTGCCTACTCAGGAAACTGTAACCCTTGCTAAAACACTTAATAGTGTAATAAAGAAGAAAAAGCAGTTTTATCGCTGTACATGCAACCTGACTGTATTACAGTAACAGATCACATGGGTTCAGTTATTTTAAAAAACACAAAATAAAATAAATGTGCCTTGTGCCTCCATAACCCTGAGATGCCATTTAAAGCCTATTGCACCCATACAACTACCCAAAATAACCTTCATTGACCTTCCCTTTTGACATTTAACAAAAATAGCTGAATTTGAAGACCTTCTGGTGAAGCGAAACCTCTCCATTTTGCTAATGGCTTCTCACTTCAGAGACAGCCAAGCAACACAGGGTGCAGTACTGTTGTGTATTTGTAACCATGTATCATGCTCATTCCTTCTGCCCTACTGTCCATGGGTTTGCGCCGAGTAGACTCCGTGTTTTCTTATTACTCCAATACAGAGAATTTTACAACTTTCACCAACTTTAGTTAGAATCTACTTCTGTAAGTGCTCAAATGCCTTCGGAAGTGCTTTTAAGATGCATTCTGCATCTACCATCTTAGACAAAGATCATTGTTCTTAAGTGTCTGTTTTTTCTTCCCATGCAATCTTATCCCCATCAGCTACACCCTTCTCCTGGGAACTTCCATATGTATTGTCTATATTTAGCTTGGCGTTCGTTGTTAGATGAGTATTGAGAGAAGGGTAGTTTGAGATGCTCTTGTTATTGAAAGAGGTATGGCAGCATATAACTGAACGCATCACCCTGAGAACAGAGGGTCGCAGGACGGTGAAAATCCACGGGTCTATAATAGAATTCACAGACAGAAAGCGCAGCGCTAAGAGGTCCAATGCGTCTTCGCCTTTGTCAACAGCAGCTCTGTTAACGTACGCTCGGATCTGCAAAACAAGTAGAAAACATAATTGGAATGAGTTGACAGTTTGGAAGGAAGAAAGGAAATTAAAATACTAATATGTCTGTGATAGGTTTTCTTTATGCATGGTATGGCATAGCTTGTAGTAGTCACATTTATCTACACTTGTTAAACTATATGTAGGCCATATGTATGTCAAATAAATGTAAATAGAGTAGGGAAGGGTTAAATCCCCTATCAGGTTATTTTTATGCTGTCTATTTCATGCTGGTTAGGTTTTCCTTCACTTCCTGTCTTGGAAATGCACCAGGAAATGAGGGGAAATCTACCCAAATTGAGGGAAATCTAAGACAGTTGTCAGCAGAAAATCTGTCCCCATTGGAGGATTTGGCCATACCTTTTACTCTCATCACAATTCTAAAATGTAGGATTTCCCTTCATGTTCTGTCTCAGAGACAGTGGTGACCTGGAATAATAGGGGGGTACATCTCCCAAGTGGGAAAACGCACTCTTTCCAAAACAAAAACAAAACATTTTGCCTTTACAAACACTTTTAGGTTCCGTTCAATGTCACCAAGTGCTACTAGCTCTGAAAAAGCTAATGCATCCAGGGGTGTCACATTTTCTCTGTTGCATTCCAACAGAATGACAATATCAATGATATTGTGGCATGATGGCATCCCCAAAGCTCCATTTACATTTCAGTATAACAGGCCAGTACCTCTGGGCAGCTAAGAGGTGGCTTCACTCTTCAGAGTTTGAAGGACATCAGCAATGAAAACTAACATATATCTGGGTTTCTTTCTTTTCTGAAGACAAGCAATCTGAGGCAATGGGGTTGATTTACTAACCTTATAAACACACCACGAACATGTATACACCTCTGTAGTGTGTTCCCTCCCAGCATGATCTATGGGTGGAATCTAAACACCTTTGTAGTGTGTACACACCCAGCAGGTGTGTTGTGCAAAGCCCTGCCCTGAATTGCAAGGTGATGTTGTGTAAATTAGCTCTACATTGTGTTGCTTGCGTTGATGAATGCAGGAATGTAAATGCATGAGCTAACCATTTTTGTCTAAACTGTGAATCAGCATTATATATGCATCATGTGCATGATTTTTCCATATATGGCATTAGTGGAAATATGCTTATAGAGACTTTTTGGTTGATAAATACGCTTTGCTGTGTAAAAATCACACGCACCTGGTGCGTGCGTGTGTTTAGGTTAGTAAATCACCCCCAATGGGTTGAGGAAAAATAACTGTGTACATGGTCATGGTTCATGTCTCTAAAGGTTCCAAAGATTGCTATACAACTCTGGTTTTATCTTCTGCACCTAAGGGGAATGTGGGCATGTACATGCCCAATGCTTTTGAAGCATATTTTCATCTGACCTTAGGTTTCACTTATACTACTGCAGCAGAGGAAATCTCACTCATCCTGTTAAATAAAAGAGGGGTGGATGAAAACCCAAACAGCAAGAAGGAGGATTGACATTTGAATGGAAGACAGGGAGTTTTCATCCACGAGAGATTTTAAAAAAAAGCTGACAAACGATTCAACTCTTTGGTGTTTTCCAACAAAACTGAAACATCAGAATTGATTGCAGTGACACTAAACTCTTCATTATATAATTTTTTGTCTACAAGTAAAATGGAAATATAACTTATTAGAATTTGTCTCTGCATTTAGAAGCAGCTAACATGGAAATGAGCTGATCTGGTAAAGCATACCAAAATAATTTGCTGCTTGCCTTTTGCCCATCCAGCTTAAAGACCCATGGTGGTCAGTGGTAACCATATTATATCTGAGCCCACCCATCCATTAACAAGGTGAAGTGGCTACACAATTTTACAATTTAATTCGTTCACATGTAGGACTGTACAAACTGTAAGCTATTTCTCTATTGAAAAGTCTATCCGTTTATTGGCTTTCTTTGCATGTTCTATGTGATATGTTTCTGCAGGGCATAGCAGACTTTTTCTTCCATTCTGCACCGTTTCCTTTAAAGCTGGAATTTTAAGTTTATGCCTCAATATGCTGGCGCTTGGGCCTCACGTTATCATGAATAAATAAAGAGGATAATTCATTTTTTCCTACATTACAGCATCTGCACCGGAACCACTTTGTGGTCCTAAAAGCAGCATTAGGAGGTTTGGAATTAGCCATAAAAGCCAATTCTGGTCAATCTTTAAACCGCCTACGTGGTCACAGGATGAGGCTATCTCTAGTCATTAGATAACATTTATCTTCTTTCAGACAGGAGTTTAACAAAAGTCATCCATAATGGACGGACAAGTAAATTACCGTGTAGGTTAATTGAGAGATACTTTGAGTTCTGTTATGTTTTAGTAAGGTATTGTTTGAATGGAAAGAACCATTTAAATGCAATTCTCATCATGTACGCATTAACGAATGTACTGCCTCTAGTAACCAGTAAGGAATTTTTTTACATACAATAGTTACATAGTTACATAGTATTTGAGGTTGAATGAAGACACAGGTCCATCGAGTTCAACCTTTGTGTGTCTGTATGTGATTGTGCATGTGTGTGATAGATTGGTTTTGGTTCCTTTCAGCAACAGATACATATTAGAACATTTTTCATGCAAGATCAACAACATAATTTCAACAACATAATTGTAGACTCAACTATAACCTTGCTATAGAACATCAAGCTTTTCTTGCCTTGATTTCTAGACCAAATGCTGACTGACCGCACAACACATTGTTATGAAGGAGTGCCAAGTACCTTTTTAAAGGTATAGTCTACCCAAACATGATAGCTATAGATGGGGCCTTTAGAGATGGGAGAACATTGCCAGAAGAGGCCAAATAAAGGTTGGAAACATGGGAGCTGTTTGCTTTTCTGCATTTAGCAACTTTGAGAATGTTTGATCATATTCAGCCAGGAAACTGGTTTTAGGGCTTGTATCGATAAGATTTGTTTGCGTCACTTGGGTTTCTCCATTCAAGTCTACAGGAATCCAGAAACTGTGTGCTGCAAGTCAACTGCAGGTCTAAAGGAGGTCAACTGCAGGGCAAATGCATCTATCAATGAATTCTGATTGGAGTCAGATGCATGCTTCGCTCACCTCTCGATCCTGTCACGGCTCTCTGCCGTGACAGGGGAGGGGCTGGATTCCCCCCTCCGATCAGCCAGCGCTGACTGGCGGAACGGACGGGGCGGGTACAGCTGGCTCTGACTCTAGATAGGCAGAGCCAGCTGTCAGTCACGCAGCTGGGCGGATCCCGGCACAATTGTCGGGATCCGCTTCAGCTGCAGCGTCTCAGTATACCGCGAGCAGCAGCTCGCGGTATACTGCGGCGTCTCAGTATACCGCGAGCTACAGCTCGCGGTATACTGAGCCTAGGGTGACAGGAGGATGCTAGTTTGTGTCCTCCCATTATCCTAAGGAGAACTATGGGGAAAAGCCTTAACCCCATAGTTCTCCTTTAATTCCAATAGTCACCCCCTGTGTGCAGCAAGTCAACTGCAGGTCAAATGCATCTGCCAAAGAATTCTGATTGGAGTCAGATGCATCTCAAACTGATGCTGTCGAAACAAGGCCCTAGCCCATCGACACAAGCCCTTGATTCCAATAATCACCCTCCTGTGTGCAGCTAGTCAACTGCATGTCAAAAAAGAGGTCAACTGCACCTGTCAATGAATTTTGAATGATCTTAGAAGCATCTCAAACTGATGTCACTGAAACCAGCCCAAGGCCAATTCACACAGGCCCTTAATTCCAATAATCATCACCTTTATCTCTCTGTCATGGCTGGTTTTAGTAGCATGAAAGCTGCAGAAACCATACCAAAATACAGAGTTGCTAAAGCATATGCTGTTTTCCTATCGTGTCCTTTGAGACCTTTCCTTAAGATAGGAACATTTCTGCCTTTTTAGAGAGAATAGTTAAAATTAAATTGGGAAAAAAAACACTGGCAATATGTAAAACATGCAGACATGGCTTTTTGAATTTTATTTGGCATGGTGCATTGGACAGGAAATTGAGCCATTTGAAGAAAGCAATGCAATGTTAATATTCTTCTGAACTTTTTTTTTTTTTTTCCAAGAGTTTTCATTGTGTTGTAACTTGTTAAAAGAATGTTATATGTTATTCAGACTTGTACTTTGTCCCATGTAAATATTGTCCCTGAAGACTTAAAAAAAAGTTTACAGAAAGGGCTTATGCGGCTCATTTGTTTCCAAACCACCGCAATCCTTCCAGATTCACAGCGCAGCTTCCATCCAAATTATCTGCACTGGGCCTCAGTTGTCCCAAATATCGGCTACAATAATTCTGTTGTCATAGCAACCAGTCAAAATCTCCATAGAGCTTAGGATGGCCATAGGCGGGTGTGTCCATGGAAAACATCTGGCCAGCCTGGGCCGGGCTTGACTGTGACCCACAACTATAGCATTGGCTCTCTAGCCCACAAACTAAAAAGCATTGAAAGTTTAGATTGGCAAACATAAGAGCCAGGAAGCAGAGCAACTTTCTAAAAGGCCTATTAAAAAAAAATGTCCCTCATACTTAATTTTACATTTCGAATTGTGCTTGTATATTTATGAACCCCTCGGAACAAATCTGTACCAGTCATTGTGAATTCACTGAGCAGCCAAGGTCACAGATGCTCTCCTTGATTTAACAGAAGCAATATATGATTTTTTTCTCCCCCCTTCCCTTTTCCTCTCTCTCCCCCCTCTCTCTCTC